GTTGGTCGAAGAGGACGCGGTAGTGGGCGTTATAGTGCGGGAGCTAATGGTAGCGAAGGAGCGGGTGGTAGTAGAGGAGCCCGAGGGAAGAACGGGTAGAAGTGGAGTGGCTAGTGTTGTTGGAGGAAGACGTGGTGGTGGACAAGGTAGTGGTGGAGATGTTGGAGGAGTATAGGAGGAAGTGGTGGTAGTGTACGAGGTGTAGTTGGCGGAGGTGAAAATGGTACTATTGGAGGTGGTGCAGGAGGAGGTGTTCGAGGAGGTGCACGTGGTAATGTTGGTAGCGGAAATGGCAGTGGTGTTAGAGGCGGAGGAGGATATGGAGGCGGTGGAGGACTCGGCAGTGGTGTAGGACGCGGGGAAAATGTTGGTGGAGTTGGTGGTGCAGGTGAAGGAGTTGGTAGTGACCGACGACACTAATTGGAAACGGCGGTGACCCTAGCACTCACTGTATTAAAACCGACAACATAAACCACAGTTTACTATGTATCAATGTTATATTTTTCTCCTTTACTATGTATAATATAGACAATGAATTAAACTATAGTTTTATAAATTAATGTCCCTTAATATATTATTCTCTCTATTTCAAATTATAGGATGTTTTAGACTTTTTATTTTATTTTATTATATAAGATGTTTTACAAATTTTTAGGCAAAATTTAAATACATTTGATTTTTATGACTATTTATATTCTGCAGTTTTTATTTTAATTGGTTAAATTTTTTAAATCATAGTGTTAAAAATAAAAAGCAAATTTCCTAAATGTGTGATTTTAACCACAAATCATATATTTTGAAAATATCCTAAAATTCCAAACTTTTAAATTTTTGTTCCAGAATTACTATCCCAAGTTTATTTTACAAATAATAATACAATTTTTTGTTGATGTCGGATTCAAAAACTCAAGTATTTGTATTATTCGTGGGTTTAAACTCTCAAGATCAAAAGTATAAAACGAATATGTATAGAAAAAGTATAAAAGTGTATACAAAATATAGAGAGAAATAGTATAGTATTGGTCATATAGCAAGATTTCGATGTCTAAAAAATAATATAATTTATTAAAATAGTTGGATTCGAGAGACGAGTTTCTTATGTATTCGAAATGGGATCTAGCCTAAACATAATCCGGATTGATTCGATTTGACAATGTAAAAAGATGGGACAAAACTTTCATGAGACAAACACAAAATGGGTTAAATAATTATTATAAATTAATAAAAAAAAATAAAAAGATAAAACTATGGAATTCATATATTTTATGTATATATATTTGATTACATAAATGACGAAACAATATTTAGTATAAGTATTGAAAATAACATTGTTTGTGTCTAAAATTGTGGTGATCTTAAGATGTGGAAGATAGAGTTCTTTTTCTTGGAGTCTTCACCTTTCTTTTATAGTCTCTTCCTTTTTTTCTTTACTTGGTCACTAATTTCAGAATTAACTCACAAAATAATCATAATCAATTCATAAACTTGAATGACAAGTTTACTCTTTTGACCATGACCATTAATTTATAAATTGAATCACAAATTAATATCAAGATTTGATCATCTCCCTTGTGCAAGATGGATCTTCTGAGGCTTTGTAAAATGATGGGCCTCCTACGCGTCTGATGGATCACTAGTGCAGGATCCAGTATCAACATTTTTGTGTAAAAAATATTTATCATAAATAAAATAAAATTATTATGTTTGGTTTCCTTATTTGCAATTTAGTGTTTATGTTTTTATTATTGATTTGCTATTTGAAATTATCTAACGCTTGGGTTTTCAAAATTAATAAACATACGACCGAGATAAATATTAAGTCTATCAATCAGATTTTGACATATGTAAAAAAATTTATATAAATAGAAAGAAAATTATACAATAAATTACAAAAGGTAAATCTTACAAATAGCATAAAAATAAATTTTCTTTCCAAATTTAGCACATCATCTCTAAAATTCCAAAAATATCATAAATTTAATATATAAAAAAAGTATTTTTAATTTCGGGAAGATTTAAAACAATGTCAAAATCTCCTAAAAATAAAGGGCAGTTCTCTTAAAAACTACATTTTGAAGTTTTTTTTGTTCAAAAAATACCATTCTTAGTTTTATTTTCCAATAATACCATAAAACTAATATTAAAATGGATACAAATATCTTTTAAATAGTGGAAATATATACCTTAAACTGGAAATATGGAACCCAAATATAATATTTTAATTTTAATTCTAATTCATTTTTATTGAAGAAATATTTTTATATAGAATTTGTGATACTATAGGAAAAATATACTAGTGGTAATATTTTTAGAACAAAAACTTAATAGTGTGATAACTAATGCTATTTTTGGAAGTTTGTAGAGTGTATGGTATAATTGTGCTTGGTGCTATTCTACAGTATTTCTCAATTACAAATCCAAAAAGTAAAGATTACAATTACTTTTGGGTCGACTGATTTTCAGCTCTATACAAATTGCAATCTTAACTTTTCACCCTAAGATTTTTGTCTTAGAAAAAACAAAAAAAATCTTTTTAATATCAGTAAAACTACACGTACTTTCGGATTTATTCTTAAAAGTTAAAACTACATCTCCAACTGGACCGATCAGTTAACCGATAATATTTAATCCGGTTTGACTTACCCAAAATTTAACCAAATATAATCGATTTTTAGTATTTTTTAACCCAATACTGACCCAAAAAAATGTAAAAGAAAAAAAAATTATCTTCATCTTCGACGAGACATGCCATTAGATTCCGAAATATTTCACATCCTGCAACAACAACAAGAACAAAATCATGTCTTTGAAGTCTCAAAGAGAGTGAATTAGTAGGCAAAGCCATCAAATTTAAGTTTTGTTAATTATGTCTATTGATCCCTCTTATTGGATCTAAAATATCGATTATAATTAAGGAATTATTGGAACCTAAGATTTGTATTATAAATTTTCTTATCAAATCGTTAATTTGAAGTTTCCATTAAACCCAACGAATTGATACTACATCTTGATTAATCGGTGAAAATTATTTAGTTTTATTTTTCAATTCAATCGGAAAATAAATGGATAATCGAAATGTTAATAGAACAAACTTTGGAAAAGAAGCAAGTTTGTTACTTTCATGACTCTATATATTTTTTGAATGAAATTGTAAGGAGTTCTATCATCGGAGAATCTAAAGCATGCACATAGGTGAGACCGGTATCGATATCATTAATAAAAAAAAAATATTTTCAAAATCGAAAAATAAATATATAAAAATATAGGATTACAAAATTACTGCAAAATTCTGTCGCAAAAATTATGTCACATAATCATGAAGAGCCTTCAAAATTACTCACTCTCTCGCTTTCTGAAACTGCTCATCCAGACCCATTATATAGAGTGTATCTAAAGAATCTACCATAGTTGCTCCAAGGCCACCAAAGCTATCAGTGCCATCTTTTGTCTGAGGCTAACAATACAAAAAGGAAAGAAAAAAAGAATAACTTCAGACCAATAGATCTTTTGCAGAGTGCAGGAAGATAATAATCTTAGTTCTTAACAATAGATCTTTTGCAGAGTGTGGTAACTTCAGATAAAGCTCATAATAAAAGGCTCAATACGTTATTGAAAGAGCAGGCACTAAATGTTATGATCAGTTCCTTGATTACGTATTGGCAAGTGTGAATTGAGTCCACAAATACTCTAATTAAAGACCTTAAGACACCAACCGTCTTACTTATAGACCTTAAGCTATGATGGCAATTAAAACCATTCCAGGCCTAAATCATAACCTACCAGTAAGCTATGATACAAGAACTGTCTCCTAATTCTAGACAGAGTCTATCCAGATTTCATGAGACAAAACATACCTCATGTTCTCGGAAAAGATTTATACGATCCCGAACAAGCATAGAAACAGAGACGAAGACAATGAAAAGCAAAGCCAAGCGTCTCGGTCTTCCAAGATAATACGCATGATTCAAATATTTCCATATCCCATAACCACTAATCGATCTACTTCTCGCCATGTCTTCTCAACAAAAACAGAGACCATTTGAGAATTCAGTGTCCATGAAACAGATTAGCCTGCAATATTCATCAAAAGAACCAAACCCAAGATAATGGTAGGACCCAAATTGAGGCACCTGCTAGTCTTTGTTGTTCGCCTACACAGAGTCAACACCAAAGGTTCACTCAGCAACTCTCTTAATATAGATTTCAAAGCTTCTCCTAGTTAAACTATAATGAGACAATAACAACAACTGTTGATAGAAAAACGAAAGAAGATAGACTCACTTAAGCGTCTTGTTGTTATCATTAGAGTAACGCTCGAACACATCAAACCAAGCATCAGGTCCACTCGATATAGGTCGTTCGAAACAATCCTTGAAGCTAAACAGAGATAAACATGAGACAGCATCAACCAGTAAACTTGTTTGCATAGTTACAATGCCAATAATCAAATCAAATCTTATAGCAGAACCTAAGAAAACGAAAAGGATTTGATGATGGAAATTACCTGAATCCGATGATACATTCGCCTAATATAAAAATCCTCATGCCCCAAATAGATCGCCGTTAGAGGAGAGAAGAGAAGAATCTGAGAGATGGAAATTTTTGGATAAAATTCATTTTGGGCTACTGATACTCAAAATAAATTACAATGTACATGGTCTAAAATAATAAAATAAGAGCATGGTAGTCTCACCTAAAAAAGAAATGATAAAATAATAAATAATATTATTTAAATACAAGAGTCTCTCAAAAAAGTTGAAAAAGTCTCTCATAGTCTCTTATTTGAGAGACTCTCTCAATTTTTTTGAAAAACTTTTGTAATTAAATAACATTATTTGTTATTGTATTATAATATATTTGTGTGAGAGACTATGGTGAGATACTCCCATTAAACATGTTCTAACTCTATAAATCAGCTCGGTCCCCATAGATAGACCCAGCAACAAAGAAGAAGAGCTTCCAAAATCAGAATCTGAGATTTCAGAGAGGAAATTGAAAAAGCTCTCTATGTTATCTTTTCGACCTTCGAAGGAGAATTGGCGAGAGGGAAGAATAAGATAAATTTTTTTTACATCCTTTTTGGGTCAATATTAGGTTAAAGTTTGAGTAAGTCAAACCAGTTTAAATATTACTGGTTAATTGATTGGTTCAATTAGAAGTGTAGTTTTAAGAATAAATTTGAAAGTACGTGTAGTTTTATTGATATTAAAAAAAATTGGTGGTTTTTTAAGAAGTAAAAAGTTTAGAGTGGAAAACTGAGATTACAACTAGTATAGGGCTGAAAAATCAGCCAACCCATTACTTTTAAAAAAAGTTATATAAAAAGTAAAATAATATAGTAAATTACTAATTCTAAAAAGGAAGAAATTACAATTACTATTCTTTAAAAATGCATATTAAATAGGAAAATATTAATAAATAAGAACTAGTTAAAAAAATATAATCTTATTATAAAAGATATTAATTAACATGATTACACTATTTGTCAATCAAATGAGATATTTATACATGTAAAACAACTTCTCCCAATTAGATTTGACACATGCTAAAAAAAATTGAAACTTACAAATATTTAACATAAAAATAAAAATATAACATATATATTAAAGTTTTAAAAAGGATATACTTCAATTAAAACAATTAAATTTTATAAAAAGGTAAAAAACTTATTAAGAAGGAAAAATGTAAAAATAATTACAATGACTATTTCTTGAAAACATATTAAAAAGAAATTATACATAAAAGAAGATATAAATTTTAAAAAATCTTATTATGGTATGTTTGATGAGTCAAAGTTAGTAATTAACATGATCGTGACATGCGTTTAACTATCGAATATTTATATATTATCGTGTTTATAATTTTCTGTTTTTCTTTTTCATTTAATTGTTGTATATTTAGATTATTTATTTTGATTTCTACTTTCAATTATAAATCATATAAGATAAATCTTATATCATCGTGCTGTGACATGTTTCATAATTTTACTTTTAAATTTTACGTTATATATTTCAATTTTATTTTCTAATTAGAAATATATGATGATTTAAAATTATATTGTTTTTGAAGTTCTATTTTCTATTAAGAGTACCCATGAAACATTTGTTTGTGACCGTTAGCTCATATAAATTTTGGCTTCAGAATTGGTCTTCTTTGGATGGGTGCCAAACCCTCAGTTCGAGTCCTAGCAGTAACATTTCTTTTTTCGTTGTTTATTTTTGTAATTTTTTAAAAAAATATATATATAAAACAGCCTATATTTTTCATTTGCTTGTGGCCTTCGAAAACATATAGCCGGCTCTGTGCAGGAGTAAGGACTAAGGATGGCCACAACGGTCAAGGACTTCGTGGAATCATAACTTTATTTTTTTATTTTTTTTTATTTTTTTGTTAAAAAGGAATCATAACTTCATAAGACAGAATACTTGTGAAATTTAGTGAATACGTACGATAGAGATGAGGTTAACTGAAAATCAAATACCATAGAGTTAAGAGATTTTGGCGGTTGAAGTGAAGACAATGCAATTCAAATAACCATAAAATTAACCAAAAAATATTATAAGATGCCAGTGATTAATTAAGCTCAAATATGCTTTGGTAATGGTAAAAAAACTGCCGACACACATGTGTTTTGTTTCTCCCTTTTTTGTTGGGGTATCTTTTCATTCTGTAATTTATTTTGTGTTATGCAACTGCAAAGACTTTCTTTTCGATAGGTCTGCTTATGACCAAAAAAAAAACTTTGTCTTTTGGGAGAGTCCAAAAGTTGAGGAAGAGAGAAGAGAAGAGCAGTCAGTCACACGACTCACACCTTCGCTGCCAAAAATCCTCGCTCTCATTTACACAAATCTAACAAGCAAATTCTGGTTAATACGGATTTGAATTATTTATATATGCCAAGTATGTATTGTTTATTCCCAATTTATCACTTGGTGTGATCCACAAATACTAGAGTACTTTTTTGTCATCTCAAACTTGGGTCGGTAAGTTTCGTTCACAGCTGGTTATGCTTAAGTTTCGAACGGAAAAATCGTGACCACCTCTTTCTTGAATGCAACTTTAGTGCATTAGCAAAAGTGGGGTTAACAAGTTGAGGTCTAAATGTTCCTTCGATGACATCCTTTAATATTCCACTAAGAAAAAGTACTGTTACATGAATGGAGCAAGAATGCATGAGTGTTCTTACGAGGATCGATCATTATCAGCTTTTTTTAAAATATCTTACTGCTTATAGAAGACTATATTCATGTCGACCGACGAGTTGGGTGGGTTTTCATATTATTGATGAACCAGTGATTAGAGGACACGTATGTGTGCGTGTTGATGGATTTTTGGCTATAAATAGGGATTCCCGCGAAGGTATGTAATCAAATCACTAGTTCTGATTGAGCTTATATTGTTTGGAAATCTATCTTGATCAGAGTGAGCTTGTGTGTGCGTACATTAATATATATATATATAGAGGGAGAGAGAGAGAGAGAGTAAGAGTATATATGGGGATGGTCGTGAGAAGGGGTTGTGTTATGGCATGTGCTACGGCATGTGTGATGGTGTTACTGATGTCAACTCAAGTGTTGGGAAAACTATCTGGTACAGGTGGTCGTGGCAGTGGCAAAAGCCGACATTATAAACATGGAGGAGGCGGTGTTGGTGCTGGTGCCGAGGGTGGTATAGGAGCTGGAGGTGGTGCGAGCGGTGGCATTGTAGCCGGAGGCGGAGGTACAGGTGCAAATATAGGAGCCGGAGGAGGAGTTGGTGTTGGAGGAGGTGGAGGCACTACTCGTGGTGGCGGAAGAGGCCGTGGCAACAAACGCAGTGGACATGGTGGTGGAGGGGGAGGCGGTGACA